TTACATTATTTTCAAATGTGTGAGTGTATTGGTATTTCAAAAATTAAAGGGGGTGGCAGTGATATTTCAAGAAAAGAGAGGGGGTGTATGTGTAATTGACCCTTAATTAATTGATTGATAATATCGGTAAAGGAATATCAGAACCTCATCATTGTAGAAATGGAGAATTTGATGAACGAAGCTCTTGAAGCTCCTCGAGATTTAAAAAACTTCTCTGTACTCAATTGTATCAATCTTTCAAGCCCTGACATTCTTAACTCTATTTTTTTACTCAAATAGGTACTCTCTCTCTCTCTCTCTCTCATATATCTGGTTTTTTTGATTGATTGATTATATATGGATCGAAAAATTATTAATTGGTGTGTACCGTTTTTGTTAATGGGTTTTTATAACCTGTCTTATCCTTTGCTTCCTCTCTTTTCTACAGGCATGTTTGGATTCTGGGTTTTTCTATGTGATCAATCATGGAATCATCCAGGAATTTATGGATGAGATTTTTTACCAAAGAAAAAGTTTTTTTTGATCTACCAGTAAGTGAGAAATGAAGGTTCTTAGGAACAAGAAACATTGAGGTCACACTCCCCTTTTCGATGAACATTTGGATCCTGTCAATCAAATACATGGTTTGTTCTGCTATCATTTTTCTAAAGTTACACAACTTTTTAGCAATAAGCACAAAAGTGAATATCAGATCAATATAATGCTTCTTCTAATACAAGTTGACATCTATTGTATAGCTTGGTATGTGCATGACATGTATATGTATATATATGTATATACTATGCTTGTATGATCATGTGTGTCTAGAAGTGGTGTGAGTGCTAGGAAAATTAGACTTTCGCCTAACATCCCCACACAGTAAGAGGCCTCACTTTTATATAGTTTAATATATATAAATTTGCAATCAGACTAACTGTTAAAAAAGTGGGGATAGTTGTCTTAAATTTGCATTTGGAATTTTTGTATAAGATGATATCGATGTTCAAATTTGTTTTGGGAATTGAAAGTTTTAAATTAAGTTTTGCAAGCTGAAGGGAGCACTTCAATTGATATATTGCATAATTAAAGAAAACTAAAATTTCCAATGCATCCACGATTATAAAATTTCCCCTCCTAAATGTACATTAATGTGTACTAATTGGACGTCGTTTTTTTTATCTATAACAATTGCATTGCCAAAAAAAAAAATTAAAATGGATAAAGTTTAACCTAAGATTGATTAAGTCATAAGAAACAATAAGTGAACTACCCGCAATATCAATTACAAATGATATGTTAGAAAACTTGAATGTGTAATTTTACATTTGAATAGAAAAGAAAAATATATTTCAAATGAAAATCTTAAAAAGGCTTCATTTATGTTTTTTATGCCTTAGGCCTCGAACAAACTTCAGCCTATATGCATTCATATATGTGCTTGTTTACATAATTATGTTGTTGCCTTCCTACTTTAAGATGCCACCCACATTGTTTTGTTCTTTATATTGTCCCATTCTTTTCTTCTTCCAGTTGATCCATTTTTCTTGATTTATTTTTGTTTAAATTTAAACTAATTATAACAGAGAGATACATGTTTCATAAAAAAGAAAAATATTGATTATCCTATTTTACGGGTATAGGAGATTATAAGGAGGGACATTACATTGGAATAGAAGTACCTGAAAATGATCCTGACATAGAAAAGCTATTATATGGACCAAATGTCTGTCCCCCTTCTGGTAAGTTACCAAATCCATTCAAGTCTTAAGAAAGTGCGAAGTATGTGTAATTCATGCCATGTCCCAATCATCTCTCTCTCTCTCTCTCTCTCTCACACACACACACACACACACATCAGAGCTTAATTCAACTTGATGTGATTTAAGCATTTGAGCATTCTACATGGTATTGGTTTGTAATTAGTATTAACCCCTTTGGTCTTTTGGCCGTTTGAAAGATATCTTGCCTGGATAGAGGGAAACTATGAAGAAATATCATAGAGAGGCACTGTAAGTTTTGTTCAAGCTTAATCTTTTTGTAACGAACTTCATATACTATTGACGGATGTATTTGCTACTTTGTATCAAACATTATATCTCTTCATGTAGCAAATTGAATTATCTTGTCTTCGTAACGCCCTCAAAATTAACCCATTATATATCATTGACATTCATTATATAAAGAAGACAATCTATTAATTCATTCATCAGAGTATTACAAAATAAAGCATTACATGTATCATCGAATAAAATGCCCTACAGGCTTACATCTTTCCAAGCCAACACTTGGATACAAAAATATGAGTTCTAACTCAAAACAAGAAAAGGCCTAGGCTTGAATGTTTACATGTACTAACAACCAAAAACAAACAACTAAAAAAAATAGTCTTCAGAATCCAAGTCCTTCAAAGCTAAGTCCTTGGAGGTAGCTTATCACCTGAACCTGAAAATGATGTTCCCATAAAGGGTGAGCCACAGCCCAGCAGAAATATACTAAACCACATATAAGAAAATGAATAAAGCAATAGTATTTGACAGATGGTTAACCAAGATAATCAACCACTTCATTTTACAGTCTCATGACACTATTGTCTAAAATACAATTTACTTTCCAATTTTATCAACATGGCTCAGAACCTGGCCAAACTTACAACAGTGAATTACATATACCATATTCACATCCTTCCAATATCAACAAACAAATGAGACTCAAGCTCAATTCACAACACTTCATACTTCCAGATTGATACACATTTTAGTGCTGTATCAATAAAAACACTTCAATATAATAAGCACACATAAAAGTGATGCTAATGGAGTCCAGCCCCTATCTCCTCCCAAACAAAATCCGGTTTAGAGGTCCATCCCCTATCTTCCCCTAAACCGTGGAGTACATCCCCTATCTCCTCCCACACACAAAACAATGTATGCAAATGCAATGCTCAATCAATACACGTATTGTCTGTATCAATGCCATAGTCAAAACTAATGACTTAACCAATGTGATTAGTTCCAGTTATTCCTAATCCACATGCAATGTCTACAACAAACACGACTATCCTCCACCGATAGCCCAAAACAGTTATTGCTAAACTGAAAATAACAATGTCCACAATTCAATAGACAAATGATTCAAATTATCCAACTACGCCATTTAATCAATGAATTCCCCAATTCCATGAATTACTTATACAAATCAATTCAACAATTCAACTAAGGTTTTTCCCAAAATTTACCAAAGTATTCCCAACATATTAAAATACCAAAACTTAGAACATAACCTATAAAATGGAGTAGGAAATCCCTACCTCAAAGAAAACAACCCAAAAAGGTGAAGAAAGAGATGAATGCCCAAAATACCAAAGTGCTCCAAATCGTCAAATGCTCAGATTAAATGGTAGCCCTTGCCTCACTCTATCTTTTTAATGAAGGATCTAGGGTAGAAACACACCCTAAGAACCCCGGCTCGAGCGAAGAACCAAAAACAACAGCTCGCTCGAGCGACAAACTACTCGCTCGAGCGAAGATCCAAAATACTGGACAGCAACTCTTGATTTCTAAACCCAACCATCCTGAAACAAACCTGCCCAACACATCCTATAATTCCAAATGAGAAACTAAAGGACAACAACAACAATATACAATGACAGAATCTATGGAACCTAAGTCCGGATACAATAATCAAATGGGAAAAGACCGGGGTCGCTATAGTCTTGTTTTGGTGTCTAAGCAGAAATGTTGCATCATATTATTTTCTCATTGTTATCTAATATGAATACCCTATTGTCAATTTAAAAGTATTGCATTAGACTAATAAATCTTGGAAAATATCACATTATGGGAAGGATAACTTCATATAAAATATTGGAAGCTCTGTATATACTAAAGAAAGGATTAGGGATGTGAGCCAAGAGCATAGACTGAAGAACTGCAGGAGAGAACTCATACGTTTATCCCATCTGGTCTTGACGGCACGGTCTGGTGGGTCCTGCGAAGCTTGGTTGACGAGTTTGTCTGTTGTAATTATACAAGCTCATCCCTTGCCATGAAAATTTTATGGTGATGGATGATAATAATATTCTAAGACCATGAAGATTCATATTTATATATTTTTTCATTACGAAAACTTGGGGTGTATTGCTTTTTAATCTATGTTGTCCAGACTTTTAACTTCAATTCTTACATGTTTTCCCAATCACTCTAAGATCTTTTATATTTTGTTACATTTTCGGTGATGCAAATTAGCATAAAATATGATGCATAACTTGAGGAATAATAACAAAGAATTAGGTTGAGTGAATTGTTTTAGCCACGGAGGTATATTTCTAAACACCATTGTTAAATTGGGACATGTATAAAACCAAACCATATGGTTGTTCTATTGGGAGTTTTTCTCCTTTCCCACTAGAAATTCATTTGTAAAAAAATAGCAATTACCTATCATTCCATTTAAGCCTTGTGACTTGTTCGGCCATGATTTCATGCTTTCAGTTTTATATATATGACATTGTTCATATGATTTCTTGATAGATTTTTGTCTCATTTTCCTCATGTATCTTTTATGTGCATACTGGTGAGGTGGCAAAAGAAATTTCAAGGATCATAGCTCTTGCACTTAACCTCGAGGTTGAATTTTTTGATAGACAAGAAATGCTTGGGAAGCCTATTGCAAACTTGCGTCTGCTACACTATGAAGGTGAAAATTAAATTGAGGATCATGGAATTTTAATGTAATTGATGTCACCTGTATCATGACATAAGTGTTTGGTTATTCTTCAGGTAGAGTTTCTGATCCCATGAAGGGAATATACGGAGCAGGTGCACATTCTGATTTTGGTTTGATAACACTCTTGGCAACTTGGTAAACAACTAAGTCAGCTGATAGCTCAGTGAGTAGCAACATGGATAGTATATATAGTTTTGAAAACCGGGATCAATTCCAAAATAAGACATATCTGATATAGTTAAGAATTTGAATTGTATTTCTAATATATTTTGTAAAAAAGGGATTGTGATCTTTTCAATTTATTGCAGATTTGCAAGGATAAGGATGCTAAACCTCAGAAGTGGGAATTTGTAGCACCATTAAAAGGGTTAGTAAATAGAATCTTCAGAGACTTGATTGGTTCAAAGGGCACTGCCTAGGATTAGTTTTCAGTTATCAAAAAATAGAAAGGAAGAAAACTTTATATATTCTGGACAATATTAGACACCTTCATTGGAGCTAGTCTAAGTTTTCTACATGCTTTTGTGATTATGAGCTGAGGTTAGATAAAAAAGACCATATATTACATTTAGCTGCTACAATTTCATGTAGAATGAATCTTTTACTATATTATCAGCATTTTCTTACTGTCTTGATGATTGAAATCTAACTTTCAGAGCATTTATAGTGAATCTTGGTGACATGCTAGAGCGCTGGAGCAACTGTATTTTCAAGTAATGTGCATTTGCCAAAGTTCCTAAATGATGGTTTTGTAGCTTCATGACAATCAGTTGGATTATTATTATTATTTATTTTTCAGTTGTTTATTGTGAGATAATATTGAGTACGATATGGGACATTGCCTTCTTTAGAGCAAAAATTCCGGAACAATAATTTCTCATTGCCACCACCTTGAATGCCAATTTTTCTAGTATGTGGTTTGAGTGTTGGGATTATAATTTTATGGTACTTGGGTATCTGTGTGTTCACTTGCTTAATTTTATCCAGGTCCACGTTGCATCGAGTGCTGGGTAATGGTCAGGAGAGATATTCTGTAAGGTCCCTTGAGAAGCTTTTGAATGTTCTCTAATTGCATTTATGCAATATTATCGTCTAACATACACAACGGCTCTTTTTGCTTTTTGGTTTTCATTTTATTCGATTTATTTTCATTTATTTATTATTATTATTTTTTCATTGAGCAGATTGCGTACTTTGTGGAGCCTAATCATGATTGTCTTGTTGAATGCTTGCCCACCTGCCAGTCGCAAGAGAACCCTCCCAAGTAAGTATCAATTGAGTATCAATTGAACATGGATAAACTGTTCATACCTGCATTGATCTAAGTATGAACACATGTTAACCATTGACAACTGCAACTGATCTGAGTACGGATGATCACAAATGAACTATCACCCACAAAATGACGTGAGGACCATTAACGTCATCATTACGTGCAACATATGTGGACAAGTGGGAACCTCTAAATTGTGCTCCAAAACAATGGTTGGATCACCCTTCCTTTGGACACCCCATTCTCGAATTTAAATTTTGTTGATTTTCTTTGAATACCCCAGTTAATTCCCAACGTACCCGCACTCGCACCCATCCAACCTATTGGCCAGCCACCCAGCGCACCAGTGCCACCTCCACCACCCCTTCCTTTCCCTCTCCTTCTCTCCCCACCATCTGCTGCCCCCTCCCTGTGCTCCTCAATACCCCCTTCTCCTTTCTTCTTGGCGCCCCCACCTCTCCGCAACACCCCACAGCCCTCCCCTGATCTTATTCTCAAACCCTAATCCAAACCACATCACCACCATCGCTGTCACATCCCAAACCTGGGTATGACCGGCCGTGGCCCATTGGGCCTTAGCCCAAGGCACACGTAAGCCTAAATACGAATCCATACACATTGAATAACTATAAAATAGTCCATTAACAAATAACCAAAACTCAATCTAGTGTCTTGCCACAAATATAACCGGAAAAACCAACCGTAATCAATACCATCCAAACTTACGGAACATAAACAACCCACATCTCAAAATAATCCTAAATGAACCTCAATAAAAATAAATATAAATATGCACAAACTTGACATAACAGTCTAAAACAAAATAAATGAATGTCCTAGAGGTCCATGCAATTGAGTCTCTGCTACGCCATGAGTCCACTCTAAGCCCTTCTAACACTTGAAAATGGTAAACAACTAAGTCAGCTGATAGCTCAGTGAGTAGCAACATGGATAGTATATATAGTTTTGAAAACAGGAATCAATTCCAAAATAAGACATATATCACAGAAACTAGATTGACATACAGTTTGGTAAAGAGAATCTGTTTCAAAAGAAGGCTTCGTAGTTCATTAGTTAAAATACTCATGCCTCTCAAGAACATGATAAATGACATTTTCTACTTAAAACAGATTACAACATGAATACCAATAATTTTCTGGGTACCAAGAAATAACAAGTAACATGCCACACAGTTCTCAAGACTATAAGCACCGTTGGATCCAATATCGAACTAAGAGTCATCCTCAAGGTGGCAACCCAGGCCTTTTCTCTAAGATGATCCGATTGAAGGTAACCTAGCCTAACCTAGGTCTTTTCTTACAATCGTTGAGCACTAGAGTCATCACGGCCCAACTCGGATCTGTTCCCTAGTGGCCAGAGTCACCACACACAGTGGAATAATTTCCCTGGACTAAAATATACAAATGGTCCCAATAATCAATACACATCAGTTTCGCAAAACATGGTAGTTCATCATTATAAACATGAGACCAAAACAAATAGTTTATAGTATGCCAAGTTCACACATGTTTTAGAAATAATTTGATTCCATTAATAATATAATAATTTATCAAAATAGTTTAGTCCTTAAATGTCACACCCCAAACCCGCCCCTAAAAGTTTGGGCATGACTACTTCAGAAACGAACACTTAACTTGATGTACATAAGATATGGGGCCTGGCGGAAGCATTCAACATCGAATAATAACATATATAATATCCATTGAGCTATCACTACTATGCCAGGATCACAAACAGAACATAAGGCAGATAAACATACAGTGACGACATCTGAAAATTTAGTTATGTACATATACGTATACGGACCCAGCCCTCAAGATTGAGCGTCACAAAAACATTAAAAGGGTAGAAGAATTATACACTTCAACCTTAGACGGACTATCAGGGAATAAAACCAAAAGCTTAGCAAGACTCCATAAAATGGGTTGCCTTCATTTAAATGCCTGGACACTCTGAGGTTGACAAAAGGGGAGCGGACGCCGTGGGTTAAGACTGACCACCTGATTGGTGGCCTACAGAAACAGACATAACAGAGAGTGAGTCGGGCTCAGTGAATAGTAATACATGAATGAAACGATGCTTAACTTGAAACATAACACATAGCAATGCGTATAAAGATGTGAAGTTCACATAGTTAGTCTGATTCTGAGCTACGTACACAACGGCCTTAGGTTCAATCTTGCAACATGAACATGGTGGCTATAAGCCCTTGAAACATGGTGGCACGAGGCCCTTGAAACTTGTGGCATAATGCCCTTGTAACATATGGCACTAATGCCCTTGAAACATATGGCATAAAGCCCTTGTAACATATGGCACTAAGGCCCTTGAAACATATGTGTATGAACCCAAGAGGTGTCTCACACGGATTCTAGAGGTGACTCATATTGTAGCACTTAATTCCGTGTAGCACTTTGTTTCATTTCATGACAACTTGTATAGATGGCCATAAGCCTCATAACCTTCATGGAATGGCTTTCAGCCTCATAATTTTCACATATGTATGGACTCAAGAGGTGGCTCATACAGATTCTAGAGGTAACTCGCACTGCAGCACTTAGTTCTGTATAGCACTTTGCTCCATACCAGGAATTAATAGTTTTTCCAGACCAAACCGTACATATCATGTCATATCATAAACGGAATCAAATCATACATATATTATTTTTTTATACTTAAATCATAAGCAGAAATCAAAAGTCATATTCGTAACATACTTGAATTCGTAACATACATGAACTTGTACCATGCGTAAACTTATAACATACGTAACTTGTAACATACCTATACTTGTAACATGCTTGAATCTGTAACATACTTAAACTTGTAACGTACAAAAACTTGAAACTTAATTACTTAAACGACGGTATTATTACCCCCGGGTAAGGACCTTGTGCTAAGGGTGCCATGGATTCTTTTATATATACAGACAATCATTCATTAGTTCAAAACGTCACATATCAGAAAATAAAGCATTTCTTATTATATCATGTCATTACAGTACACTTAACAAAGACAGAACAATTCACATTCTAACGTGGGTTACATAACGATGTTAAACCTTTGCATTCATTTCATTTTATAGATTCTAAACGATCTCGGATCCATACGTAACACAACAAAATGATCTTGAATTCACACAGATACATCATTCAAGGATGAACATAAGTTCCATTTATTCTTTTAGAAGAGGTAACATACTATGCTGATGAATAAAGGAGAGTTAATATTCGTTATTGGCAGAACAAAAGTATTCCAACGTCATACCAATGCACGCAAATCTTTCAACGTTCATAAATGTTCGTGTAACACTTACAAAGAATAGAGCATTAGTGACAATAGTTATCAACGGTAGATAAAATGTACATTTTCATACTACTACTCATAGAGTGATGGCGAAGCATTCTTTCTCGCGGGGTGTGTCCTGTACAGATACATAACTTATAAATTAGTTCATTTCTCTCTGTTGAATTGCTTATGAATTCATTTCGCTTCGAGTAATTTATAGATATCAAGAAGGCATCAAGTACAAATTTCGACAATATTACAGGGTCCAGCATGCAAAATGGAGCAACCCATGTTTTTCAACATGGGCCGCACGTGCGGCTGTGAGCCCCGCATGTGTGGCTGTGAGCCCCGCATGTGCGGCAAAGCGTCCCGCATGTGCGGCAGTGATGCCCCGCACGTGCCTTTTTGACAGTAGCCAACCCTCAAAATTCTTCATTTCTCGCATGTGCGGCTGTGACTCCCGCACGTGCGGCTGGGGTTCTCGCACGTGCGGCGATCTGCCTCAATTTCCAGTCCGAAATTCAACCTTCTCTTCACTTGGCCAACTTAACTTGAAACACAAATTGAGAATAAAATTCATGCAATATTATGGTTTAATCTTACAATAACATCATCCATAAGTGTAGAACATCCCAAGAATCAACCCTCAAAATTCTTCATTTCCCGCATGTGCGGCTGTGACTCCCGCACGTGCGGCTGGGGTTCTCACACGTGCGGCGATCTGCCTCAATTTCCAGTCCGAAATTCAACCTTCTCTTCACTTGGCCAACTTAACTTGAAACACAAATTGAGAATAAAATTCGTGCAATATTATGGTTTAATCTTACAATAACATCATTCATAAGTGTAGAACATCCCAAGAATTGTAAGTATAATTCAATTGAGTTACTTCCTTACGTGAACACAACCCATAAACATAACTTAATTCTCTTGCATACAACATCACATATGTAACCTTAGAAGACAATTCCTTTATCCTTGCATAACCAACTTAATTTACATTATCTAGGTGACAACTATAAACCAAGTTAAGCATTGATCATACATTAGATTCAATTTCATGCCCTAGGTCACACACTTGTGGAGAAATCACACTCAAATTCAAGAGAGGAGACATGGAGGGTGAGTAAACCTACTTATGATCTTGAACTCCCCAAATTCCCTCTAAATTATCCACTTGATCTTGAAGAAGCCCCCTTCTAGTTCCTTTCTCCCTAATCTCACCACTTTCACTCTCTCTGGAAATGTTTTGAGCTAGGAGTTCTTAAGGCAAGAGTTAAAGAACACACACACACACACACACACACACACACATATATATATAAGGCATGAATAGGACAAAAGATCAATCGTTTAATCATTCCAAATTGAAATTTCACAAAATGCTTATTATTACTTAAAAATTATGCTGATTCCAATTATAGAATCAATTTCGGATTATCAAGTCTCTAAGGCCCTCAATTTCTGATTCAAACACTAGAATTGTAACAGATAGTTCTCATATTAAACAGATACATAACTATAAGCATAAGATCCACTTTTTTTTTTTTAAACTTACTTTCACATGAAATTTCCCAATAAACATACTAATGCACAGAATAGGGGGCTAAAAGCATACCAGAAAACACGTACGAGTGTCGGGCTATTACATTAAACAACAATTTAATTTTCCAACAGTTCAAGGTAGGGGAAGATTTATAAAAATATGTAGCATGCAACTACTCACCTGAAAACGAAATAATATAATCCTCGAATAGAGTATGAAAGTCCAACTAGTGCCCTGAACCAAGTATGTAAACTACACGTCACTACTAATTTAAAAATACTAAAGAATAAGAACTAAGTAACCCCAAACTAAAACGCACTAACACGGCTCAACACAACTCACTGTTACTCTTAAATACTACCTAAGTTCATGATCTTCAAGGTCTAAAATCACCCAAGATATGGGTTCAAATCAAAACTTAATTAAAAGCAACTTTAAGATAAAACAGAATTTTAAACTAGTTTTCCCAATCTATTTGCTAACTTTGAAAATTAAAAAACCCACTCCATGTCGTTCGGAAAATTCTAAAACCCTTCCGATATCAACTAATATATCCTAAGTTTCAAACCCAAATGGTTTCACTTGATTTTCTTGTCAAAATAATTATCTACAATTAATTATATCTAAATAGGTTGTTTTCTGCAGCACTTTAAAGAAATTAGTGGTTCTCTTAATATACATGAGCAATCAATGCAAGGCCAAAAGTGTACGAAACTAGACTCGTAGCCGGTTCTAATGACGCTGATTTGATAATTTTTAGATTTATACCCAAAGAGAACAACACTCCCGAACTTACTGTTTAAAACCAGTTTTTTGGACAGATTTGAACGCGTCAGTTTATATGGATTTTGACTCCCAAAAATTATGAGAAAATTCAGATATGCAATTCAACATGTAATTAATCTATAGAAAAATTTCAGTTCAAAATTCATTCGTTTTATATGGTTTCTTGATTTTTAAAGTTTGTGATTCTATATAGAATTTTTGGTCTAAGAATTACACCATTCATTATACATGAATTTAACTCTCAGATTTCTTAACAGTACATGAATTTTCAGGTTTTGTCTTTCTTTGTAATTTGACATAGAGGTAAAACGGTATTAAAAAAGGGGGGAAAAATCAATTTTACTCCTTGTGGTTTGAGTTTGGGGCACTCTACCTGTCCGTGATTCAAATATAGATGGTTTAATTAATAAAATTTGTGATTAATTTAAAATTAAGTGTATAATATCAGAGATAAAGAGGATTAGGTTTTTTTTTTCATACAAGGGTAAAATAGTCTTTTGATGATTAATGTTAACGGATGTTAGATTGCAATTTAGTAAAACTATAACGGGGCAAATATGCCTATATTTAAATCACATGTGGGTAACGTGATCTGGTCTCAAACTATAAGGGGATAACGTGAAATTTGAAAAAAAAAAATACTGAATTTGGGATGTCCAACAATATTTTTGGGATGCATTTAAAGGCTCCCTGGATAACTGAGCTGGTGTCTAATTAAAATTGAAAACCTTTTTGCATTAATAAAAATGCAAAAAGGATATGCTCGACTTCTTTGTTTTTGTGAAGTTTCTCTATTTTTTAATGCTTCTTTTCCACCAAGTTTCCTCCTATCAAATGTGAAACTTACATGCTCCAGCGGTACAAGGAAACTCGCGCTATTCTCTAGTCATACGAAAAATGATACGCCAAACTCTGTTGTCAATATTGCTGGGATTTTCGCTTCAAGTGTAGAACACAAAAGTTAGCTCCTTCCTGCCGTGGTTTGTATAGAAACAAGTTCACTTAGTTGAATATTGGAGAAATATCATGTAATCATTTTTTTGTTGCAAATGTAATGTTGATATATATGTAAAACATGTATGAGAATATGCGAAATATTTATTAAAACTTTATCTTCGTTTTTTTTTTTTTGAATCACTAGTAGGATTTTATTTTGTATGCTACATTTACATTTAAAAGAGTTCACCAAGCAAATAATTAGGTTATGTTGTGTATTGTGGACAAAATAAGTTTTCACTATGGAAATATATATTTTGTTAGTATATATGTTCCATTCATTTGACATTTGATTAATGGTTGCAATTGCCACAAGTTGCACTACTGTTTGATAATGTTTTTTATTTTTATTTTTATTTTCATTTTCTGGAAAATGCAAAATAAATATTTTTGAAAATTATTTATTACTGGAAATGATTTTTTTGAAAATTTTCTGAAAACAATTCACTTTTAACAACAACAAAAAAAAAAAATTGTTTTTAGATTTTTGGTAAGTCAGTATTTGATTACCCAAAAAACAACCGAGCCCAATATGAAAAGGGCTACAACTCTAAATAGTAAAAGCCTCTAGTTTCAAGAGGCAACAATTAAAACTCAGAATTCTATAAAAAGAATAGTTCTCACAACCCAAAAGTTAGGCAAAAACGAAATATGAAAAAAAAATTCACTAGTTGAGAGCCTACGTAAATTCTCTCCATTTTTTGTTTTTTAACCCTTGCTCTCAAATTTCAACTCAATTCAACAACACTAGCACATCCTAGTTTTTTTTTCCCTTGCCATTTTGATGATAAAGAAAAGATTAAAATCACCTAACTTCGTTCAGCTTCAAATAATTTAAGGATATTTTTACTTGAACCATATGGGGTGTGACCACCTAATAACAATAGGGCACATATGATTATTTTTTCAAAAAATAAAAAATAAAGTGACTATATCCCATCATGTGTTTTATAGGTTATTCTTATAATTTTTATTCGGATATGACTTGTCTTCATGTGAATTGGACCACATCGTTGTCGCATTTGCGCTCACCATATCGTTATTGTGTGTTTTGAATCTTTCCAATGGCTATTTCTCCTATTCCAATGGCTATATTTGCTCTCTAATGGTCAAATGAAGATGAGGGACTATAAATAGAAGATCTACATTCATCTATAAGTGAGAAAGAGGATAATCTCCAAAAGAGGAGAAAATACAATAATTTCATACTGTAACTTTCATATCATCTCTATGAACTTTAATTGTTTAAATCCAACTCTTTAGGAGTTTATTGTACAAAATGCTTTACGCATTTTTTTCTACAAATCATCTATAAAGGGTTGTTATACCCATGAGCTTCATTGTGAGTATTTGAGAGAGAGACACCTGAGAGATTTGGTAACACCAAAAGAGGGGCTATTTTGGTGGGTTTGCTTTCTGGGATTTTTGGAACAAAATTTTGTTGCAAAAGTCTTGCAAGTACCCGGTTAATTTGCTAGTGTAAATCTATTAGATAAATAGTGGAAATACTTGAGGGGGAGCTTTGAGGAATGGACGTAGGTTTGGGTTGAAACCGAACCACTATAAATCTTGTGTTTTCCTTCTCTCTCTCTCTCTCTCTTCTTCCTTTATATGTATACTTTCGGCTCTATTTTGCTTTGACTTGATTTGCTCACACATTATTGCTCATGTTTTATATATTCATTCTTTTATTTTACTTGAGTTGAGCAAGTTAATTTTATTGAATTATTTCATTTTAAGTTATATTTATCAACTCAATTTCCCGCCTCGTGTTGTCTACATGGTGTAACACTATGAATAAAAAGTTCAACCTTGCTCAGTTTGTTACATATATAAGCAAGTTCAAATTAAATTTTTAGACTTGTTTAATAAACTCAGTAAGAGCTCAACTTTGCTAAGTTTGTTACATATATAAACAATGTCAAACCAATCTTTTGAGCTCTCTTTTGAGCTCGTTTAATAAGTGAGTCACTCAAGGTTCCCGTCAATTTTTTTTCTTCATTATTGAGTTTCAAACCAAACTTGAGCATAATTAGTATTTTTCTTCATTATTAAATTTCAAACCAAACTTGAATATAATTAGTATTAAGAAACTGAGCTGAGCTCACGCAATAATTAGCATAAATATTCAAGCTCAACTTAAACTTTTCTTTTTTGAGCTTGATAAACAAACGAACTCAGCTAGGCTCATTTGCCACACTGGCCACTAAGAACCAACAACTAAGAGAAATAGATCAATGCGGAAGACAGAATTTAGCTTTTGGGCCAAAGAACACTTGGATTGATTTATTAAAAAACACTGTATTCTATTACAATTACATAGCAGTTAGGCTGAAAATTTTTTGTCCAGCTCTGTCGCTCTCTCATATCCTTCTATTTTGAACTCTCTCTATCATACGATTCAAGTGAAGCTTAGCATGAAAGTTAGTAATACATCTTGAGAATGACAAGCTTGGCATTCCAAATCCTTAATTGAGGCAAGTGGTTAATTCTACAAGTACCATCGCAGTGGATGCTTCACAGGTCAGTCTGAATTTCTACATATTTCCACAGCTTTTGTGACTTCACAGAGAGTACTAAACTGGCTGAATTTCTACATATTTCCACAGCTTTTGTGACTTCACAGAGAGTACTAAACTGGTAGTGAGTAGCGAGTAGAGACTGAAGTTGATAATATTTCAACTAAAACCAACCTTTCATCCAACCCGACTCTTACTGTCATGGTTCTAATATAAACTCTAAAGCTTACAACACCACAAAAGTTCTGAAACACCATGATTGGAATGTAGAGGGACAAGGAGAGACACCAAACAAGAATATATAACAGACTCTGAAGAAACACACTACATTAACTACTAGCCATATTTTCTGCTCACAATTCAACAATTCATCGGAAGCTTCTGTAATTGGGAGTATACGTGCAGCTTTCAGCGTACTTCACCAGAATATCACGCCAAGGGAGATGCATTGCTAACCCTATGAAACATTGAGAAAGTCATAAAAATAAACATGCTTCAAGGGGCAATTACGGCGGTGGTAAGACACATGAAGCAACCAAAGGTACACTTACTAACTCACCAAGTTCGTATGCTTTAGCAGCCACATTAGCAGCAATGTGGCCAGAGATCTTTCTGATATTAGAGAATGGTGGATAGATCAAACCCTTGTCCAAATTCTCTTTTGTTACTTGCTCAGCCAAAGCCTCTGCCGTTACAAAGGAAAGTAGATGATTTAGACACAAGGGTGAACCATTCTATTTATTTGCCGTGCCTGTCACCTAGAATTGCAATTTAATAGGTTTCGCCAAAAGTTTTCCATAGCGCTTCACACATGATGATGGGCAACCCAGTGTAAAAAACTTCTGTTAAAAGGATATATAGAGAGGGCAAGATGTACAGATACTGTTTCAATGACTTGAACCTGCCCCACCAGGAACGCTAATGGCAAATCGCCCTTACAGAACCTGATCACACATCAAGGGAATAAAACAAACACAAGGTGTTTTTTGAGTTTACATTCTATTGGAATCTGAGTAAACATCTCAGAACTTTTTCCTAAGAGAGTCTATTCATTATTTATGACTTGCACAGATATGTGACCAGAGGAAAGGGAAAAAATAATAAAGCATATGTAAAATGAAATAAAATAAAGGAATGAATTCATTGCTCTTCAATTAGCAAGTAAATTGTATTCAACTTATAATGTATCTAATTATGTAATATGTAGTGCACTTACAGGCTTCCATAAGCATTTCATCGTGTACACGAATTGCACTAGAGATGACCAAACGCAAACCAAATCCAGGGAAAATATATGCATTATTTGCCTGAATTGATCACTAAAAACAAAAAAACAAAAGGTGCCATCAAAATCAGTTTTTAGTATCCATCTCAGATGTATTAAGTATATAACACCAAAAAACTGGAAGTATAAAGTAATAGAACCTGCCGGGTAGAGAGAGTTTGCCATTGTATTCTACAGGGTCAAATGGACTTCCACTATCAAAAATTGCATGTCGCTTATTTTAGAACAGATAAATTTATTAGTTTTGTATTTAAATCCAATCAGATATTACTTTGCATCAAAGCATCAAATTGTAGGATAAGAAAAAATGCATAATTTATTTTCACCTGACTCTAGGTGTAAGCTTCTTCAGCTGTGCAATCAGATTGCGAGGTTGGGTTGGAGAGAGCCATAATGAGAGGTTTCTGCATGCCATTCATTTAGAGTCTTATTGTAAAATTTTGAAGAGAGAGAGAGACAGAGAGAAAGACAGAGAGAGAGACCCTCATTGAAGGAGGCCATGACCTTAATCACCTCTGTTGTGAATGTTCTTCCCACTCTAGATGAACCAAATGGACTTCCAAAGGTACACTCACCAACTCACCAAGTTCATATTCTTTAGCAGCTACATCAGTAGCAAATGTGGGCCGAGATCTTTCTGATATTAGAGAATGAAGAATAGATCAAACCCTTGTTGAAGTTCTCTTTTGTTACTTGCCCAGTCAAAGCCCCTGCTGTTACAAAGGAAAGTAGATGATTTAGATACAAAGATGAACCATTCTATCTATTTGTCGTGCCCGTTTGCATAGAAGTAACTTCAATTCAATAGGTTTTGTCAGAAGTTTACCATCGTGCTTTGCACATGATTATGGGCATCCTAGTGTATGAAGCTTATGCTAAAATGGGATCTACAGAGGATAAGATATACATAGTTTTTCTTTCATTTTTGAAGAGACTGTCTATGACTCAAACCTGTGCTACTAGGGGTGCTAATGGCAAGCCTTACCATTGAGCCAAATCACCCTTACAAAACCAGATCACACATCAAGGGAATAAAACAAACACAAGGGGCCATTTAGTTTACATTCTATTGGAATCTGAGTAAACATCTCAAAACGTTTTCTAAGAGTTTATTCATTATTTATGCCCTATATAGATATGTGACTAGAGGAAATGGAAAAAAAATAAAAATAAAGCAAAGTAAAATGAAATAAAATAAAGGAAAGAATTC